TTTGATCACTGGTTATTGGAATTGGACAAGGAGGATGGGGTAGAACAGGGCTGTTTAAATAAAATGAATAAAATATATGGCAGTTTGCTTTAGAAAGTGGATAGATACTGACTACAATTTTGTTGGTTATACCTAAGGAGGAATACATTCCATGCACATCCAACCTTCTTGTTAATTACCAGAGTAATTCCCATCCAGTTGCAATAGTAGTTTATGTATTCTGGTAAGCCATGGTTTCCCTCTACTTGGGCTGAGCTTGGACCTTTCCAGGATCTCCTAACCAGGCTCAAAGCTCACAGGTATTTGTCTCCCACTTTGTGGTCCAGGCCAAACCTCATGCATACCAGATTACTCACCTCCCATTGGATTCACTATTCCTACCATCCATTAAAAAAGTAAAGATTCCCCTCGCACATATGTGCTAGTCGTTCCCGACTCTAGGGGGCAGTGCTCATCTTTTTTCAAAGCTGAAGAGCCTGCACTGTCTGAAGATGTCTCCATGGTCATGTGACCGGCATGACTAAACACCAAAGGCACACAGATCCCTGTTACCTTCCCACCAAAGGTGGTTCCTATTTTTTCTATTTGCATTTTTACATGTTTTCAAACTGCTAGGTTGGCAGAAGCTGGGACAAGTAACAACAGCTCACTCTGTTACGCAGCGCTAGGGATTCAAACCACTGAACTGCCGACCTTTCTGATTGACAAGCTCAGCGTCTTAGCCACTGAGCCATTATGTCCCCTGTTACCACCCATTAGCCCATACATAATAAATTATCTTAATTATCCTTTTTCTATGCTACCTCTGAGATCTTCAGTACTGATCTGATTGTATAATGTACTACCCATAGCTCTCATGTGTCTGATGTAGCAAAATAATTGATATCCAGGTATTTGTATAGTTGGATAAGCAACTTGATAATTGGGGACAGAAGTAGCAAAATCACACCTATGATTGCATAATATAACATGCACCTACTAGCCATTCAATAAGCAGTGTTATCATACAGTTGAAGACCATATCATAATGTGAATTGGTTATACATGTGAGCCACTGACGGATACTTAGACCATATATTTCCTTGTAGATAATAAAGTTTTGTGTGTTTTAGCAACTTTTATTTTATGAGCTGGCAGCAAATCACAATGAAACCTGCAGACTCCCTGCCTTTGACTACTTTTTTTTCCAAGAAACCAATCAGTTCTACAAGAGACTTCCTTCTTGGATCCTGGCAGTGGCTCCCTTCAGATGCAAAGCAAACCTTTGTTCTTCCCTGTCCTTGCACTGCTAGCCAAAAAGACTGTTCCCTACCCATCTAGCCCACCCAGGTAAATAATGCTTAGGAAACATGCATCATTTTGGACCCAGTTGACAGAGCACTTTTAAAAAATGTTCTCACAGAGTAAAATTAACTCTGCCTGAAAAAAACAAAGTGAGCAGGAAATGGGTGGGTGGGATAATAGAGAGGGCTCTCTTGTCAGTTGGCTGAATGTGTGTTTGCCTGTTTGACGCACGATGAAGATGCCTGGTTTCATTCAGAGCAAACATTCCAAGCTAGGGTTTGATCAACTGGTGTAGGAAGACAAAAATGTGCCCTATTCTCACCTAATTATGTAACAAAAGTGAGGACTTTACTATTATGAAAAAACTAGCTGCCACTATACATTTTAGTGGAGTGACTCCATAAGGAAATGGATGTGGTGTGAACCTTTGCGTCACACAAACGAAAACATAGACGTTCAAAAGAAGCACAGTAGCTCCAGGACCATAAATCCCTTCCAGCAAACTACATTCGTGCCATGCATTTAACAGGGTAGCTGCCTTGACCATTTTTCTAGGTTCGGACACAGGTCGAACAATACCCGAAATTAAATGGGCTTCTTCTTCACACAACAGCTTTTTAAAACCAAAAGCCAAAAGTAACACTAGCTCAACATAGCATGGCCCACGAATGCTCCAGTAAGTTCAAAATCCAGCAGCTAAGCGGGAAAGGGTGGCACCTGAAACTTTATGGGGAAAAAAAAAACCCAGGTGCCAGGCGCGTACGCGCGTCTAGTAAGACGCCAAGCCATCGGAAATCGAGTGCGCGCGTTCCTCATTGCTACCGCTGGATAAGTTTTACTCTAAAGCCTTGACATTTAGCGCACGACCGACGCTCAGTCCCGTTTGTAGCGCAACGACTCCGGGAAGCCTCGCTCAATCTGACAAGAGGCGCTTTCTGAAGACGGCGGGCTTCCAACCACCCCCGCCAAGTGAAGCAACCACCGGCGGCAACAACATTCAGGGGAACCCGTTTCCTCTTAGCGACCGCTAAGCCAGGCTGAAAGGAAAGAGGGAGGAGCGGCCGTGGGAACGGCGGCTTCTTCGCGCGGAGTAAGGAGAGCGAGAGAGAAAGAGGCACCTGGCGCGAGGAGCGCCTTTCGGAGCGCGCGCCGAGAGCGGGGCCTTTTGCGCTGTCCCGGGCGTGGAGCGGAGGGCCGGCTTTATGAAGCCGGGGCCGGCTTGCAGAGGCGGGGTAAGGGGGCAGGAGAAGGAGGGAGGCGGTGACCTCAGAGTCGGATAAGGTAGGAGACCAGCGGTACAAACGGTGGTTTGTCCCGCTTTTATGGGGGGAAGGCGAGACTTATCCACGGCGCAGTCCGCAGAGGGAAACCCGTCCCTCCTTTTTCCTTTGCTCGCTGCGCCCAGCAGCCCCGCCGGCGGGGGGCCATGCAGAGGTCCCCTCTGGAGAAGGCGAACGTTTTCTCCAAGCTCTTTTTCAGGTGAGCCGCCGGGCCGCACGTGCGACTGGGTGGGCGAGCGGGAGGGAGAGAAAAGCAAACCAGCGAAAGCGGATTCTCGACCGGGAACTGGAGTGCGAGGCTGAGCTCTGAGCGCCTGCCGGAGGGTGACGTTGGCGCCTTAGACATAGGGACCTTCATTCAGGAGGTTGGAAGGACCGCGGGAGAGGCGAGCGCTCATTTTTTTATTGGGAAAAGGGTGCACTTATGGTTGCTCTCCTCCTCCTGCTGCAAATGGTTCATCGCCATCCTGTAGCCCGCGGGTATTCATGGTTGGAGTCAAGTGGAAAGCTGTGAAGTGAGCCCCCCTCCCGTCCCCTCCTGCTTGGATTTCTCTCGCGCAAATACCATCGCGCACCGCTGCCTGAGATGCCAGTAATTAGCCCTGAAAACAGTTGGCAAAGGGAAAGGGAAATGCTGGGTAGTTCCAGGAGGGAGAGGAGGAGGAGGAGGACTCCCCTCCCGCCCGCCCTCTGTACTTTTTCCCCCTCCTTTGTACACTTTGGTCCCCGCGCCGGTCACAGAGCGCTCCTTTGAATGCTCGCCAACGCTTCCTCGGCTGCGAGGCTCATAAATTTCGCCCCGAAGCCAGGGAAATCGATTTAAAGCAGATCACTCAAGTAACCTTTGGCAGGCAAGATGCCCCCGTGCCACCTTCCGATGGGAGAGAAAGCGGGGGAAAGGGGGGGGGGG